ATTACAGGCTTGGACTTGAGATTCACCATACAGAAATCAAGGCTCTAAACTGGCAAATTCTCCAGCAGGAAGATTCTTGCATTTGCCCAACTGCAGCCTCCTGGGGAGAAAGCTTTCTCCTCCCTGTATACTCCGCCCTCCCTGTAGATCCAGCCCTGACCTGCCCCATTCCCTGGAGCTAGTATGTCTGCCTCCACAGTTGCTGCAGTGCACACGAGGCTAGTGCTCCAGGTGTCTGCCAGCAGCGTGTAGGCGGGTGCAGCTGTCTGTTTCGAACAGAACCTGCTTAGGAGAGGGAGGACCTTCTCTCTCCTCTGTCCATTAGACCCAAGTTCTAACTAAGGGTCTTCCTGCAACTGCCTTTCTTTAATCCGGTGCTTGGGAACAGACTCAGGGCCTTGTATGTATTTAGTAAGGGCTTTCTCATGGATCTACACGCCCGTTGCACAGGTTCTTCCTTCTGAAGAAAAGAAAAGAATGGAGGGCCCTTTGGAAGAGGGAAGCGGCCTCTTTGTGGCCATGCCGCTTCTGGAGGTGGCAGAGGTCATGGAACCAATGGGGTTAAGCTCCATCCCTATTCTGACCTACTTTTCTACCTGTGCCCACATCCCCTGAGGCCAGGGTGTTGGGTGGGGCCAGCCTGGCACCCCTGCACCCACACCTGGGACTTCCCCTGATTGGAAACTCCCAGGACCCAGGCCTCTTGCCTGCTTTGCCAACTCCCACTGAGTACCTGAGTTCAGCTCATCTCCAGTCAAATCTCTGCCAGTCTCCTGTCAAACTACATCTAGATACCAAACCAAGGGACCCCAACCCTGTGGGTCCACCCTTTAGGGTCCTCTTTGGTTTTTTGTTTGTTTGTTTGTTTTTGTTTTTTGTTTTGTTTTTTCGAGACAAGGTTTCTCTGTGGCTTTGGAGGCTGTCCTGGAACTAGCTCTTGTAGACCAGGCTGGCCTTGAACTCACAGAGATCCGCCTGCCTCTGCCTCCCAAGTGCTGGGATTAAAGGCATGGGCCACCAACGCCCGGCTAGGGTCCTCTTTGATACCTGGCTGCCCACCATCTGAAGATGGTGGCACATGCCTTTAATCTCAGCACTCAGGAGGCAGAGGCAGATGGATCTCTGTGAGTTCGAGACCAGCCTGGTCTACAAGAGCTAGTTCCTGGACAGCCTACAAAACTACAGAGAAACCCGTCTCGAAAAAAAACACCAACAAAAACTAAAAAAAAAAAAAAAGGAGGAGGAAAGATGTGGGGCAGGAAGAGGGATTTGCAGGAAGAGAGATTTGCAGGAAGAGGGCTTTGCAGGAAGCTACCCTTTGTTGATCACTTACTCTGTGCCAGGCATGCACATAATCTCATTTAATGCACACCAATATGACCCAGAGAGCTCATAGTTATCGCCCTCCCTTTATAGAAGAAGGAGAAGAGCAGCAGAGAGCTGAGTGACTTGCCCAATGTCACACAGCTAGGACATAGCCGAACCACAATGATAACCCAGGTATTGGCAGTCATGAGCTCTCTTGATTGTAGCAGGCCTTTTATGCCTCTACAAGAGACTTGAAAATTAAATATAACCTAATTTAGCAAGCCTTTTTTTCTTTTTTGGAATATATATATGCTCTATTTGCATGTATGCCTTCATTCTAGAAGAGGGCATCAGATCCAGCTACAGATGGTTGTGAGCCACCGTGTGGAAATTGAACTCAGAACCTCTGGAAGAGCAGCCAGAGCTCTTAACCACTAAGCCATCTCTCCAGTCCCCTCAGCAAGCCTTTTTTTTTTTTTTTTGAGCATCTTATATACACGAGACACTGATAAGTGCCAGGAATAAAGACATCACTATCCTCAAGGTCTGTGAGAGAGCTGTGTATATGAACTAGGAAATGTCTAACTTCAGTGTCCCAAACTAGCCTTGAACTTACCTGAACTTGCTATGTAGCCTCAGATGATCTTGAACTTCTGATCTTGAATGCAGGATTACAAGCTTGCAGCATCTGTTTATGTGGTGTTAGAGACCAGAAGGAACCTAGGGCTTTATACCCTGGCAGCAGTTATATTCCCCAGAACAGGGAGAGTATTTTTATTTTTGTCCTGGGTATATGTATGTGTGTATGTGTGTGAATGAATGTGTGTGTTTGGGGGTATAAGTATACTAAGGACAAGCTGGGCATGGTGGTGCAAACCTTGCTTATAAGCTCAGGCGTTGGCAGACGGAAGTGGGAGGAGCAGGAGCAGAAGTAGAAGGTCATGCTTGGCTGTGTATTAAGTTTAGGGCCAGCCTGGAACACCAGATACCCTGTCTCAAAAAAAAAAAAAATCCAGGGAAGGATGAGGTAGTTTGGTGGTCATGAGTACCACCAGACAATCCAACACCTGGCCTCTGTGAGCACCCACACACATGTATCACACACACACACACAAATAGAGAAAAAATTATTTGAAATGTCAATAAAGAAATCAGCTGGTGATAGTGGCTGGTCTCAAACTCACAGAGATCTGCCTGCCTCTACTTCCAGAGTGCTGGGATTAAAGGGGTGAGCCACCAACGCCCGGCTAAGGAGTTTCTTTTATCATTGTTTATTTTTGTGTGTCAGGGTTTGTTTATGTGTGGGGTCTTTCATATACATATATGTGTGTACAAGTGTGTGTGTGTACAAGTATATACATGTGTGTATAAATGTATGCCTGTGTGTCTGTGTACAAGTATATGTATGTGTGCAAGTGTATACTTACCTCTGTGTGTGTGTGTGTGTGTGTGTGTGTATTGTAGATCAGCCTCAGATGTTAGATGATGTTTTTCATGAATCATTCACCCCGTGTTTTTTGTTTGCTTTCTAAAGATTTTGTTTGTAAGTTATGTGTGAGTGTTTTCCTGCCCATATGTAAGTGTACAGCATTCGTGCATTGCCCTGAGAGGTCAGATGAGGGAATCTAATCCCCCAGAACTGGAGTTCAGATAGTAGTCATCTACCATGTGGGTATTAGGACCTGAACCCATGGGTTTGCAAAAGCAACTAATGCTCTTATCTGCAGAGCCATCTCTCCAGGCCCATTCTGTGACAGTTGTTGTTGTTGTTGTTGTGTGTGTGTGTGTTTTAAGACAGGGTTTCTCTGTGTAGTTCTGGCTGTTCTGGAATTTGCTCTATAGACCAGGCTAACCTTGAACTCAGAGATCTGCCAGCCTCAGCCTCCTAAAAAACGGGGATTAAAGGTGTGCGCCACCATCACCACCACCACCACCATCACCACCACCACCACCCTGCTCTTTATTATGCACTATTAACATTAAAAACTAGGTAACCCTCCCTTAATCAAATAAACATTGCTCCCTGTACTTAGATGGGTAAAGCTGCATTTAAATTTTTTCTCTTGAGACAGGGTCTCACTTTGGAGTCCTGGTTTACCGGGAATTCACTATGTAGACCAGGCTGACCTGGAATTCAGAGATCCCCCTGCCTCTGCCTCCAAATACTGGGATTAAAGGCATGAGCCACCACTAACCAGCTCCCATTCTGTTTTTAAAACAGAGCTCACCAAGTAGGTTAAGTTGGCTTGCCTTTGGGCTCCAGGGGTCCACCTGTCTCCTTTTCCCAGTGCTGGGATTATAAGCATACACCACAGCATGCTGGGACCAAACTCAGGCCTTTGTGCTTACATGGCAAACCTTTAACTAAATGGATTCTTTTTTTGTTTGTTTTATTTTTGGAGACAGGGTTTCTCTGTATTGTTTTGGAGCCTGTCCTGGAACTTGCTCTGTAGACCAAGCTGGCCTCAAACTCAGAGATCCTTCTGCCTGCCTCTGCCTCCCCAGTGCTGGGATTAAAGGCATGCACCATCAGGCTTCAAGTTCAGATGTATCTGACAATGCCAAGCTTGTTTACCAGATGGCTATACTAGGTCAAGTGTGTTGGCTAGTACCTATAATCCTGTACCTGGGGAGGTCAAAACAGGGGGTTCAGAAGTTCGAGGTCATTGGCTACATAATAAGTTTGAAGCAACCTAAGCTACAGGAGACCCTGTTTCAAAAAAACAAAAACAAGTTAAAAAAATAGGTAACAGTAAATTCTAACAGGGTCAAGAGTAGCAACAAGAATCTCCACCCAGCATTTAGGAGGCAGAGGCAGGAGATCTCTGAGTTCCATGCTAGAGATGTAACACAGAGAAACCTGTCTCAAAAAACAATATAAATGAAAGATCCAAGTTGACTCACAAACCCTCCTTGGTGGTGCCTCTGACCTGTGTCATCATGAGTCTTGCCTTTGCTTGTGCACTCTGTGGAATAGTCTTCCACTAGAAATTTCCATGACTTGCTCTCTCACTTCCTTCCAGTCTTTCCCTGAAGATATCTTTCATTAGGATTGTAATCTCTAATAAGAATAAAAGAGCCTCCTGATTTGATCCCCAGCATCCATTAAAGATGAGGAGCAGAGGTGGTGACGCACGCCTTTAATCCCAGCACTTGGGAGGCAGAGGCAGGTGGATCTCTGTGAGTTCGAGGCCAACCTGGTCTACATAGCTAGTTCCTGGACAGTTAGGGCTGTTAAAGAGAGAAACCCTGCTTCAAACAAACAAATAAACATACAAACAAAAACAAAGAAGATGAACAGGCAGAAGACAAGCTTATAGTCTTCCCTTCTCTCCCCTCTCCTTTCCCCCTCTCTTTCTCTTCTTTTCACTTTATTTCACATATTATTGCTGGGGAAGTCACTCATGCCACAGCATACATAAGAAAGTCATGGAACAACTTGTGGGAATTGACTCTCTTCTGCTTGCCAGGCTTGCAGGCAAGAACTTTACTGGATATGCCATCTCACCAGCCCCTCTGCCCTCTATTTATTTTGTAGATGTATTTATACTTTTTGTTTGTTTGTTTGTTTGTTTTTGTTTTGTTTTTCGAGGCAGGGTTTCTCTGTGGCTTTGTGGTTTCGGAGGCTGTCCTGGAACTAACTATTGTAGACCAGGCTGGTCTCGAACTCACAAAGATCCGCCTGCCTCTGCCTCCCAAGTGCTGGGATTAAAGGCGTGAGCCACCAACGCCCGGCGATGTATTTATTCTTATTTTATGTGCATGAGTGTTCTGCTTGCATGTATATGTGTGCAACACATGCATATCTAGTGCTCACATGGTTTAGAAGAAGGCATCAGATCTCCTGGTACTAGAGTTACAGATTGTTATGAGCCTTGTGGGTGTCAGGAACTGGACCCAGGTCCCCAAAAAGGCGGCAAGTACTCTTAATTGATAGTCCATGTCTTCTGCCTGCTCCTCTTTAATGTGGTACTGGGGATCAAATCCCGGGGCTCCCTTATTCTTAACTGTGTTTTTCTTCTTGCATGGTTATTTGGGTACATTCAACCTCAGACAGACCCTCTCTGCCACTGGGGCTTGGCAACTTGCCCACAATCCTTAAGGACCATCCAACTAAACTGTTGGGGACTGTCTAGATTCCCTTCTGTGAACCACCTTTTATCTGATACTCCTATGAGGAGAATAGCCACTCATACTCTGAAATACTGTGTGGCTTTTGCCCCCACCCTGCGCTACTCCTTACTTTTATGGGCCCTCCTTAAGAGAAGAAATTCAGCTATCTAGTTCACTCCAGCATCCAGCACCTGGTCCTTAATAGGCCAGCAAATAATAGTTGTTCAAGCCAGTTGTTGGTTTCCCATAGACAGCCAGGCACCCCCACACCCACACCTGGGACTCACTCTCTCTAGAAACTCCCAGCACCCAGGCCTCCTTAACACTCCTATCAACTCCAGCAACATCCCTGACTCAGTCTCCTGGACTGCTTCTGCTGCTGGGCTGCCTCCCTGAGACCCCTGGGAGCTTATGGAGAGCCCAAAGCCTTAGTTCTGGCTCCCAGGGTTAGAGAGACTCTGGCAGGTATCCTGGCCTAGAATTGCTAGAAATTCCCTGTGACTGAATAGAGGGAGGGAAGACAAGACCAGTCCTTTCCAGGTGAAGGAACAGCGTGAATAAATGACTGTTGGCATGAAAATGCACATCCTGTTTGAAGAGCATGTTCTGATCTGGTGCTGGTAAAGGACCATAGGCAGAAGGGAGGGTGGATAAAAGTACTGTCAGACAGATCTAGAAGACAATGACCAGGTGGGGAGGTCTGAGCTCCCTGCAGGATCAGCAAGACTCAGAGTGTCTTAGACTTAATCCTGCCCACCCCGCAGATCCACCCAGCCCTCCCTTTCACCCGGCCCCCAGCCTGCCTGATCCTGCAGCCAAATGGACTTCTCTCTGGGCCTACGCTTGGGGCCCCGGAATAAGAAGGCTACCTACCAGGAGCCCCCTCCATCCTCTGGGCATGGGCCTCCAGCTACCTCTCCCTGCTTGTTATGTCCCCCTTCTGCTTGTGCCTGCCCCTGTCCCAGCTGTCCCCCTCCCTCCTGTCCCTGCAATACTTGTCCCTCATATACGGGCACCTGCCCTTCCTATCCGGGCCTCCCTGGCCCACCCTGCACCTGCTCTTGCCCTCCTTGCCCTGCTTGTCCTCCCTCAACTTGTCCCCGTACCTACTGCGTCCCCTGCTCAAGTCCACCTATGACCTACTGCCAACACTCACCTTGCCCGGGTGTCCCTTGTTCGGCAGGCCAAAGTATCTGTCGGGGCTCCCACCTGGGCTGTAGTAGCAGCTGCATCTGTGGCCGTGGGACTGCTAGGAAGCCTCGGGGCTCCACAGGTTGCTGCAGTTTGTGCTTCAGGAGACAAAGGGCTTCTCAAGGGCTCTGTCTGATAATCTAGGCTGAGAGAATGTGTCCCGTGACATATGCTTCAGCTGGCACTGGAGCTACGCCCTCAGAAGCTCTGCGTAGATGGTAGTTGTAGAGATGGAGTCGGGTGGACACCCCCTCCCCAAGTCCCGAAGGGGACAGGGGACCACTACCACTCCTTGGATACTAGTTTCTCTGGGTGTGTTCCTGCTGGTTCCAGAACCTCCTCCTCTGCACCTTCTGGAAAGTGTCCTCAGAACCTTCCCTGCAGCCCTTAAGGTAAGCATGTCCGTGGCTCCTTCCTCCCACTCAGCCCCCAGTGGAGACCTTTTGCATATCTCCTCTGCAGTTCACATGATATGGCAGGTTCCTCTTCTAAAGGATGGAGGAGGATGCTTTGTTCACAGGCCATTCTTGCCTCTGGACCTCCATCCATACTTATGATTATCTCGGAGTCTCTGGCCTCCTAACCTCTCATCTTCAGCCAGACAAAGGAGGCTGGCAGCCCTTGGACCAGGAGAGACTACTGAGCAGAGGGCTCTTGGTTTCTCCTCCCCTGGCATAGCTTTGACATCCTTCCTGGTCTTTTGTGTCCATTCAGGAACCTTCTGCCTGGATGTTTTGTGTTGGAAATTTCTAAGCGCTCCCTTAGCCTCATGACCTCAATCTTGCTGCAGTAATCCTATCTCTGTCTGAGACAGCCATGCTCCTCTGTCTTGGGGAAGAGGGGAACTGGGGACCCTTCCCTCAGGTTCTCAGAGGTCCTATCCACAAACATGCAGGTAGTTGTACTTGTATGTTCCCTGTTGGAAAATATGTACCTCACCAGGTGAGGTAGCTCTTTGGATTTTGGTGGGCTGGGTTTTTGTTGTTATTTTGTTCTGTTTTATTGTTTTTCTGGCGCTTAGGACCTAACCTAGGGCGTGTGCTTGCTAGGCGAGCACTCGACTACTGAACTAACCCTAACCCTGAGACAGAGTGTTATACAGCCTTATGAGCTCACTGCATAGCCAACACTAGCCTTAAACTTCTATTCTTCCTGCCTCTGCTTCTCAAGGGCTGGGATCGCAAGCCTATGCCACCATCCCCAACTCTCCCTTGGACTTTTTTTGTTTGTTTGTTTTGTTTTTCAATACAGGGTTTCTCTGTATTGCTTTGGAGCGTGTCTTAGCACTCACTCTGTTTTTTGTTTTGGGTTTTTTTTTTTTTCAAGACAGGGTTTCTCTGTATTGTTTTGGAGACTGTCCTGGAACTAGCTCTGTAGACCAGGCTGGCCTCGAACTCACAGAGATCCGCCTGCCTCTGCCTCCTAAGTGCTAGGATTAAAGGCGTGCGCCACCAACATACTCCCTTGGACTTTTAATTTACCTCTTCTCTCAATTCCTCTTCCTCCTCCTCTTTTTTCTTATATTTTAATTAATGTGTGTGGGCACTGTCACGCCACAGTGTACCAGTGGAAGCCAGAGGACAACTTCTGGGAGTCAGTTCTCTCCTTCTACCTAGGACACAGGAATTAAACTCAGATCCTCAGGTTTAGCAGGCGGCAAGTGCATTTACATGCTGAGCCATTTTGCCAGCCCAGTCTCTAGTCTCTGTTTTTGTCTCCTCTGGATTTTCTTTTCTCTTTGTTTCATTCATTCATTTATTTATTTTCTTTCTTTCCTTTTTTTTTTTTTTTTTTGAACAGGTTCAGGCTGATGTCAAATTCTGTCTTATTCTGCTTCAGTCTTCCTGGTGCTGGGGTTATTGATGTGTACCACTGTGCCTAGCTGATTCACAGAGGAATTTGCAACTTGGGAATGAGAGGCCATCACCTGAGCCCACTGATGAAGCTTGGTGTCACTAAATGTGAAGAGCCAGACACTGCCTGATGTCATGATGCAGCCTGAAGCATTCAGCATTGCCCAGGGAAGATTCTGGCCAAAGAAACACACAAATTGCTCAACATGAATTAAATCAAACCTCCATTGCATACCACATGTGTGTGCATGATGTTCATGAGTGTGTACGTCATGTGTGTGCGCATGCCATGTGTGTGCAGGTGCTCATGGAGACCAGAGATTTGTTCTTTAGAGCAATTTTTTCTTTTTTAAGACAGAGTTTCTCCATGTAGCTCTGGTTGTACTGAAACTCACTCCGTAGATCAGGTTGCCCTCAGATTCACAGAGATCCACCTGCCTCTGCCTCCTGAGTGCTACGATTAAAGGCATGCGCCACCACCTACCAGCTAATTTTTTTGTTTTGTTTTATTTTGTTTTTCGAGACAGGGTTTCTCTGTATTGCCTTGGAGCCTGTCCTGGAACTCACTCCATAGACCAGGCTGGCTTCGAACTCACAGAGATCTGCCTGCCTCTGCCTCCTGAGTGCTGGGATTAAAGGTGTGCACCACCAACACCTGGCTAATTTTTTTTAAAACAGTCTTTCACTAGGTCTTGTCCGCATCCTCAGCTCTGAAATTACATGCTTGCCCATGGTTTTTACCCGGGTTCTGAGGATTGATTTCTTATCAAGTACATATTCCAAACCAGGGCTTAGCCTGCTGAGCTAAGTCCTCAGCACCCTACTTAATGAGAACTACAGGAGGTAGAGAAGCATATTAAACGACACGAGGAGGAAGTAAGTTAGCTCTAGTAAAATGTGGGTGATTTTAAACCCAGTTACCTAAATAAGCCAAGGGCTGTGGGAAAAGTGAGAAGGGACTTAAAAATGAACCAGCGAGCTGAGGGCACACCTCAGTGTTAGACTGGTGACCTCCGAGGGCAGGAGAGTATAGACAACCACACTGGAACATGTAGATCTCTTTTTGTTCAAGATTTGGGGGATACCAACTATAAAAAGATATTTAGGAGTTGAGGACATTTTTTTTTTTTTTTGGATTTTTCGAGACAGGGTTTCTCTGTATTGTTTTGGAGGCTGTCCTGGAACTTGCTCTGTAGACCAGGCTGGCCTCGAACTCACAGAGATCCGCCTGCCTCTGCCTCCCGAGTGCTGGGATTAAAGGCGTGCGCCACCAACACCCGGTGAGGACATTTAACTGTAGATTGAGTTGTAGTTTTTTTGTTTTGTTTTGTTTTGAAGACAGGGCTTCTCTGTGTAATAGTGCTGGCTGTCCTGGAACTTGCTCTGTAGACCAGGCTGGCCTCAAACTCACAGAGATCCACCTGCCACTGGGATTAAAGGTGTGCTCTACCGCTGCCCAGCTGGACTGAGTTTTATGATGCCAAGAAATCAGTGCTACTTTGTTAGATGTAAGTGCGGCCCTGAGATTATTTCCCAGCATTGATACAGAAGTATGGAGTAAAATAGCCTACTTAATTTGAAATGTCTCAGTGGAGAAAACAGAAGACATAGGAGTGGCAGACTCCATAATTGTTGAATTAAATATGTATGGGCTCATGGAATTATGTGTTCCACACTTGAGTATGTTTGAACACCTTGATCATAAAAGATGGCAAGTTGGTTTCTTATAACTCTCCGAGCATTTTCCCATGAAAGCTAGGGGCTTTTTTTTTTTTTTTTTTTTTTTGGTTTTTCGAGACAGGGTTTCTCTATAGCTTTGGAGACTGTCCTGGAACTCACTTTGTAGACCAGGCTGGCCTCGAACTCACAGAGATCCGCCTGCCTCTGCCTCCCGAGTGCTGGGATTAAAGGCATGCCCCACCAACGCCCGGCTGCTAGGGTCTTCTTATGGCTTCTCATACACATCCCAACTCTACCTACCCTCTAGTAGAAGGCTGTTCTGGAGATAAACTGCACCGACAGACCACTTTATCTCCTCTAATCACGGGCTAGCAAATTTCCCAACAAGATCTTTTACAGTTGTTCCTCACAGTCCAAAGAGACATAGCAACCTTAAGAGTATACATGTTTTTTTGCCAGGCGTTGGTGGCGCATGCCTTTAATCCCAGCACTCGGGAGGCAGAGGCAGATGGATCTCTGTGAGTTCGAGGCCAACCTGGTTTACAAGAGCTAGTTCCAGGAGAGCCTCCAAAGCCAACAGAGAAACCCTGTCTCGAAAAAAAAAAAAGGGTATACATTTTTTGAACAGATTCTACAATAATTCAAAATAATATAGGGGCTAGAGAGGTTGCACAATGGTGAAGAGTGCATACTACCCTTGTAGAAGACCCACATTTGGTTTCCACATCGACATGGCAGTTTACAACCTTCTGTAACCTAGATTCCAGAGGTTCCGATGCCCTCTTCTGGCCCTTGAGGGAACTACATGCATATGGTAGTTATATAAACATACATATAGGCACACATAAAATAAAGGTTTGTTTTTTGGTTTTGTTCTTTTGTTGTTGCTGCTGTTGTTTTGGGACAGGGATTCCTTGTGTAACCCTGGCTGCTGGAACTCACTATGTTGTCCAGGAGCTGTGCAAGGATGAAACTGTAATCCTAATCCCTGCTTTATCTCTTTTTTTTTTCGGTTTTTACAAGACAGGGTTTCTCTGTATTGTTTTGGAGGCTGTCGGTCCAGCCCAGCCTCGAACTCACAGAGATCCGCCTGCCTCTGCCTCCCGAGTGCTGGGATTAAAGGCCTGCGCTACCCACACCCAGCTCTGCTTTACCTCTTACCATGGAACTCTGAATATGCTATATCGTCAACCCTGGGAGCTAATTTTAGCACCTACCTAATGGATTATTTTGACAGTTAATTGAGATATGTCATCTATAGTAATTGGCCAAGGATTTTTTTTCAGGGTTAGGGATCAAAGGCTCTCATAGGCAAATATTCTGTCACTGATCTACATAATCCATAAGTGAGATTAGAAAAGGCAGGTATGGTTCCTGTGGGTGTGAATGTGTAGAGTTCTGCATCTGCAAATAGGGCTTCCCACAAGTGCAGCTGTTGTGCCTGCTATGGAGACATCCCTGCAACCAAATGTAAACAAAGCGATGCACATAAACCTGCATTTGTGTTTTACAACCTGACCCGCTCGCCACACCTCTTTCTATGAGCTATATAACTGAAAATAGAAATTTTAGATTTGATTTTTGTTTGTTTTTTGTTTTTTCGAGGCAGGGTTTCTCTGTGACTTTGGAGGCTGTTCGGTAACTAGCTCTTTTAGACAAGGCTGGCCTGGAACTCACAGAGATCCACCTGCCTCTGCCTTCTGAGTGCTGGGAGTAAAGGCGTGCACCACCAATGCCAGGTTAGATTTGACTTTAAGAAAGAGAGAGAGAGAGAGAGAGAGAGAGAGAGAGAGAGAGAGATAAAGTCAAGCAGTAGTGGCACATCCCAGCACTCTGGAGGCAGAGGCAGGTGGCTTTCTATGAGTTTGAAGCTAGCCTGGTCTACAGACAAGTTCCAGGACAGCCAGAGCTGCACAGAGAAACTCTGTCTTGAAAAAGACAAAAAAAAATTAAGATGAAAGAAAGGAAGTCCTAAAGGGAAGGTTCAGTACGTAAAAGCCCCACTTTTCTTTGTGTCTGTGCTTCTTAAAATTTTTTTAAAGATTTATTTACAGTCAGGCATGGTGGTGAACAACTTAAATCCTAGCACTAAGGAAGCTGAGTTAGGCTGAGTTCAAGGCCAGTTTAGTATACAAAGTGATTTCCAAGACAGCCATGGCTGTTAAATAGAAACTCTCTCTTGAAAAACAAAAATAATAATAATAATGAATTTTTTAAAAAAAGATTTATTTATCACATATACAGTGTTCTGCCTACATGCCAGAAGAGGGCACCAGATTGAATTGTAGACGGTTGTCAGCCACCATGTGGTTGCTGGGAATTGAACTCAGGACCTCTGGAAGAACAGTCAGTGCTCTTAACCTCTGAGCCATCTCTCCAGCACCAATAATGAATTTTTAAAAAGTATTTATTTTTTTATGTTTATGAGTGTGAACCTATGTGATTGTATGCATACTACCTTCTTGAAGTCACCTTCATAAGTCAGAATAGGCTGGTCAGATCTGGAGCTGGAGTTACAGATAGTTATGAATCACATACTGGATGTCGGTACTGGCAACCAAACTCTAGCTGCAAGAACAGCAAGTACTCTTAATCTATTAATCACTGAGCGTTCTCTCTAGCCATTATTATTATGAGTTATTATTATTGTTAGTAATTTATTTTTTGAGACAAGGTCTCATTCTTGTCTAGTCCTGGAACCTGGATCAACCCAAGTTGATCTTAAATTCTCAGTAATTCTCTTGCCTCAGCCTCTCAAGTGCAAGGATTACATGAGCCGCCATGCCTTGATAGGCAGTCTTCTCTAGTAACATGCAGGAAGCAGTGTGCTGAGTCCCAGTTGGGAGCAAGTAGGCAGGGTGGTAGCGGATGAGGTCACGGAAGTAGCAAAAAGCCCCAGACAGATGCATTTGTACACCATTAGGAATATTTTGACTTCCACCTTTAGTGAAAAGGGAAGCCACTGGAGGGTCGACATAATACTGAGGCTGAAGGAAATTTAACAAACATCCCAAGATAAAACAGTTCCTGGGTAGATAGCAGGTGGTGGGAGTTGAGCTCCAGGACTGAAGTTTTTAACTCTATGATCTCACTGAACGTTTAGCCTTCTTCATTTGGGCTCTGGCCGCTCTCCTCTGAGTTCACACAAAGAAAGTGGGACACGGAGGGAGAAGTAGGGAGGCTTCGCTAAACTGGTAAAGTGCGGGGTAGGAATGGAACCTCAAATCTATGTGCAGCCGGAGTCCACGTTTTTTTTTACACCACACCGCCTCCCTCAGGTGTCTGGACTACACTGACTGCTGGCCTGGGAGGTCATTATGATGGGAGATGCCTGGAGTAGCCTGGGCTTAGGGCTGCGGAGTTCATTAGCAAGAGGTAGCCGCTGGCTCTCAGGGACTGCGGGCATCTTTCCGAGGTACCACGTGGTGGAAAACAGAGAAAATACGTTTTCATTTGGGATGACCCCGCAGGTATCCGCGGGTTGGAGGAGCCAATAGCACCAGACACAGCACCAAGAGCCTCTCCTGCAGCCCCTTCTCCACTTCGGCTCCC